CTTCAGCTGCCACCTGGTTCAATTTGAAATCGGCATTGAGATTTGGGGCCGAAATACCAAACGGCTGAGGCAACTCTTTAAAATTCACTCCAGGATTTATGCAAGTGGATGTTGCACAATTCCATGAGAAAGAAAGGGTGATAGGGGCCAGCCTTAAGTCCATTACTCATGTCCACACACCCCCCACTCGTACAAACACACGCAGGCTGTTGGGGCAAGTGCTGTTAGTGAACCCCGATGAAGGCCGGCACGGTACACGAGAGGGTTGGTGTCCAGTATCACACCAGGCACCCTTTTGTCTCCCAAGTGACAATGTTTACACAGCTTATCAGGTACTCATGGAAACCAGGACTGGTTCAGATATTACCAATGGAACGTTTTTTTTACACGTAAATTGGTGTGATTCGCTTTTTGCAGATTAAAATTATTTTTTCACCACGTAGTTAGCTGGGGGCAGTTAATTTCCGACAACACATTATATAGCGAGTACCGTGCCGAGTGAGCCCCATATATTTCGTCCTCAAGCCCTTATACCAGGGGTGGGCAAATTTTTTGACTCGCGGGCCACAATGGGTTCTAAAATTTGACAGAGGGGCCGGTCAAAGTGCGCCATCTAATGGGGAAATGGGGGCATTACAGGAGAAAGATACAATTTAATTTAATAATAATATTTGGACAAGTTCGGCGGGCCGGATTAAAAAGCCCAACGGGCCGTATACGGCCCGGGGGCCGTACTTTGCCCATGTCTGTCCTATACAGTGGGTTTCTCGGTTTATGATGCCATCGATCAAAGATATTTTGATTAACGATCCATCTCCCATAGGGTCCCATTGTTTCTATTAACGAGCGCTCCTAAGGGGACTCAGCAGACCTCAGCCAATCAGCGACGCCCTTTAATGAGCGTTTTGAGAGAAACTAGATTAATTATCAATGTTTGATGTGCGCCGCTTATGGATACAGCCTTCTTTAATACTTAAATGTTTTATTGACTTAAAAGTTATATAAGAGCAATAACAATGGGCCCTAAAATTAATGTGAAGCCAAGAAAGTAAGGAACATTTTTTCTCCTACCCCAACTCCATCAACCCCTTAAGCCATCCATCTTCTTAGCCTAATGTAAGCATTTTTTATGCTCTATTTATGCACCTTTTATGCTCTTTATTAATTATTTATCCATGTTTGTATTAATATGAATGCTTTCATATGTTATTTTAACGTTTATTTTAAAAAAATGCGTGTTTAAATATTATAAACGATATTTTTAAGGTGAAAAAAGTCAACTTCCGATGCTCTAGGAACAGATCAAGCCTTTAAAATGTATTTCCTATGAACATTCACGACAATTTCAATTAACGATGGTTTTTGGGGAACCAATTAATATCGTTCATCGAGGAACCACTCAAGAGTGAACAACCCCCACCCCCCCGCTTGCTGGAACCTGAAGCTAATCCAACGCAAGCTACCCAAATCGTTGCACCAATCACGACCCAGCATTCCGGCGTACGCTCGCCGGCAGCCAATCGCGAGTCGAAGCTCGCATTAAAATGTGGATGCCGTGACAGCTCGACCAAGCTAGCCAATAGGGTACGAGAGCGTTCCGCCGAAACGTCGAGGTTGGCGACCGAAGTCATCGATACCATTCAGGCTTTTGAAAAACATCTACAAGGCATTACTTTACATTTTTTTTAATGAATTAATTTACAACACGTAAGTCAATACACTTTATATATCCAATTTGGCAGTTACATATAGTAACCATGTTGCACTAGTTGAAGCACGTTTCGCATACTGTATTACCGTATTCGATATGTGGCTATGCTATGTGGTTTTGGGTTAAGTAGCAGCAGTCATTCATGCTCCCACGTGTCCTTCTCGCCCTCACAAACTTGCACACACCATGGTGAAGTACAGTCTGTTCTACAATGTGTGGTGTTTTCATAACGAAATATTGGATATAACGCGATTTTTTTTATTAGGCAACACTTTTCATAACGCGAATGCGAATTGGATATAACACGAATGAGTGAACAGAGCTACTTTGCGCGAGTAGGAATACGCGATTGTACGGCTGATTCAACGTAACATAAAAGGCGGTATGCTGCTGGATGCTTCTGGATGCTACTCATGCGCCTCAGTCTTTGTTCAGTCTGCATACACATCTCACGTGTTATCGTGAGATGCGTATGCTTTAATCAACTACCGCGTTATCGGAGAACAGACTATGGTCAAATGACCCCCATGACCTGCATGGCGTAAGCAGGTCATCACCCACCAGTGACTCGAAAAAACGGGTTATTCATCATGTAAATCGTAATAAAGTAAACTTGATTATCTGCGCTAATGATGGGGAGGACGGTCGCGGATAATAAAAAATCGGGGATAATCCAAACATATCAATTTTCTGCGGATCTCTTTGCCAAACACAACTAATTTAGGTATAATTATATTTAAGTACAACATTTTTTGGGTTAACAAAACAAACATTTGCAGTAAATAATGTATTGACTTGGTTTTATTACGTAAGTCCACAGCACAGCTTTGTTTATTAAAACTCACAAAATGATTGGATAAATCACTCAAAATGAAGCACAGCTGACGATTTGGATCGTTACTCTTTTGAATTTGAATTAATACGAACGATCGACCGATAGATGTGCGTGTTCATTGATGATACTCCTGCTCCCCCCACAGAAGACTGCCCAATCAGTGGAAGATAGCAGAGCCACACCAATTAATATTAATCAAACTCCGCCCACTGTTGTAAAGATATGCAACTACTGTACTGTAGGGGCGATCACGTGGAATTCGGATTAATCGGAGCACATATATCAGTTTAAGCACGTGACTTTTAATAAACATTTCCAAAAATAACAGTGCATAACTGTTTTTAGATTATTAATTCGGGCTTAAGGGGAAATCCATGAGTTATTAATTCATGTCAAACTCTCAGGTGCGCGGTTAATCCGCAAATTGGATAAACGACACGCGGATAATCGAGTATATTGTATATTGTTTTGTAGCTTTTAGTCATTTTCCTTCTCTTTCCTTGATGTCAGAATTTTAGAAATTAACATGCACAATGGAGATTACTTAGAAATTATACATTTGTTCAAAATTATGAAAAAAAATACTATCACTTGCATTTATTCTTACACATGCCAGTGATTCATAAAATGTGTATAGTCATGTGCATTCAATGTCCAATAGAGTACTACACTGACTATGAGCTTTTCAATAATAGACACCAATTGTTTACGTTTCTCTGCAATATTACACTTTATAGAGCTTGTTACCAGCACTATCATCTGGTGGTCCCAGAGGTATCATGATGCTGTGTGTTTTCGTGCTTGGAATCATCAAATTATAAACGTATTCTGGTATTTTATTAGCTATCTACAGATGTTCTCAAAACTTAATTCCTTATACTCCCATACTTCACAGTATGAGGGTCGCCCAAAAAGGTAATGCCCCACTTTCTTTTTTTCAACCAAAATGTATTGAAAAGTGAAAACTACCCATAGAATTTGCAGATTTATTAATTACATGCTCATTACTTTTCCACATGATCCCCTTCCACCTCAATGGTTCTACGCCATCGAGAAACGAGGGCATGTATTCCTTGCTAGTGGGGCATTACTTTCTGGGCGACCCTCGTACATTATTTTATGTTTACCAAGCATCAGGGTTAATTTTTACCAATCCTGGTGGTTCAGTGGTAAAGCGAGGGGCTCACAATCTGAAGGAAGCAAGTTAAAAACCTGGTACAATAATAGTACCTATTCGTGGGATAGTCAACAGTGGTTGTCTTATGGATAGACTGACCCCTAACATAGGTGTAATTGATGATTCAAGGCTTTAAAATGCAGATAAGCACAGCCTCAGTGCTCATTTGAACAGTAAATCAATGTGCTCATTTGAACAGTAAATCAATGCTTTTTAAAATCAACATACATGCGACATATAGCAACAACTTTATTCGTAAGCGATATAGGTGAACATGAAAAGTTGTAAATGGGTGACAAGAAGAATAGATTTTGAGAAATTCTGATTAACTTAATTTTCTGCAACACTAAATTATGAATGGACAAATCGGAATCCAGAATTATTATTCCATTCGGCTCCAATAAAGTAATCTCATTCCTACTATAAATTATATTTGGCGTCATCGCCTTTTGGCGTCATCTGGTCCAACACCATGTGAGACTAGGCTCTAAGGAAAGCTGTCTCGGATGTGGACCAATTAATTTCAAGGACAGTGCATACATTATCAGAGTTATGTTTTTGTTTGCATTCCGACCGCAGGTATTGTGGTCAATGCAAACATGTAAAAAAGGTGTCAGTTTTGTTGCCAGATAAAAGGGTAAAAAAACAATTATCATATTTTGCTACTGGCAAAGGAGGTTCCAATGGTGTTATAATGAATTTCTACATTTATGTAGTGTCTGCTGTGATCCATGTAACATCCAAGTACAGACATACCCAGGTAAACGCTCAGGATGTATTCCTGAAAGCCAGAATGTAAATCGAAAGTACTTATATCTAAGCATTTTTGGTTTGTCGTAACGTGGTACAGTACCTAAACAGAGGCCTCAGTTCCTAAACAAAGGATGCCCAGTAACCTATTGCGCATACAACCATTGCCTGAAAATTAAGTGTATATTATTGATATTTGAAGATATTTTACCTTGTCTTTTATATTACATGTATTATTACTCAACATGAGGCCCACCCCCCCTCATTAATATTCATGCGTGGTGGATTTTTACACTAACGCAGAGGAAGGTCGAGCCGAATTAAATAATTTATTACGCAGTGACTTCAAACATTACTTTTTTTTTTACAAAAAGTGACGGTAAAAAATAAATCTACGCAGCACAGTGCTACTACCGTGTGTGACGTCACTGCAAAAGAGCCCCCCCCCTGAATTAATATTCATGCCCACGTGGAAATTTACACTCACGCACAAGAAGGTCGCGCACTCCACATGGGACAACCCTCCTCATTAATAATCATGAGCTGAGCAATTTTTCTATTGAATATTTCAGATTTACTGCAATATACACCCGTCCTTGGATGGGCAAAAATGCTAGTATAGAAATAGTCGCCATAAATACGGTATGTGGGGAAAAAATATTAATTGAGTACACATGAAATATACTCCAGCAGTCAGAGACGCTAACACTTGGGTGCCATCTGGCACCTAAACAATTCGGGGCTAAATGCTTGAGTTAGTAAATCTCGAGTATGTTATCGCGAGGTACACAGTACGTAAAATGATATTGGGTATCAATAAGTTGAGTACATTATAACAAGTACGTAAAGCAGGAGGGCGTAAATCGGGGTGTTACTGTACTTAGATGGAGGTCCTTTTACTCGTAATTTTCATGTAATAATTGAAAGCCATGAAAACTACTGATTACACAGCACCTTAGGCTAATAGTAGGTGTCATGAGCATTATTAGCAGCCACATTTGTGTGTCCAGTAGAACTTGTTTTGTTGTCAGAGTCATCGTCTTCAGGTTCATACCGAGATGAATTCTGCAAAAGAAACACAATTTACTTTATACGTTGAAATATGGTATCTGAATTAATTTCTGCAACACCAAACATATTTGACAAAGACCCTAATATAAAGCTAGTCTTTTACAGAGGCCTGTGAGGCAGGTCAGAGTGTTATTTTTAATTAAGTTAGGCAAATAGAATTGTTTTGCAGGTGACCGCCATGATCAATAATAACATGGAAATTACATTTAATACCAGGTAAATGTGTTGCTGTGGTATAAAAGCTTGCACGCTGAACTCGCAGATCCAGAGAGGTCTCCAGTGCAATCTCCCAGTGTGGCAGTTGAACAATGATAAATTTTCATATAATAAAATAATAATAAAAGATATATTTTTATTATTTTATTGTTTCCCTTCTACATGACTTTACCGAAAAAACCAAGAATATGAATCCCTGCAGTCACGAAAGCTTTAAATCAAAATGATAACGTTTGTTAAATTTCCCGCGCTTCTATCCAGCCAGCAGTATTTATGGTTTAACGTTCGTAATTTTCCTTCAACTATTCGCGATTTGGCAACATTGGATCATGGGAAGGGGTGCAAGACTTGCGCAGTACCAGTAATGGATTGTGCCCGTGTGCCGCCATCTACATACTAAAGCTTTTACTCTTCAAGTGCCGTTGCCTTTTGTATTATTTTGTACCATTTTTGCCTTATTTGTGGTATTTTTGGGGGGGGGTCTAAGCATCAAGTGAGTGGAGAAAGTGAGAGCAAGAGTAAAAGGCAGAACAGAGTGATGAGTTTAGCTCAAAAAGTAGAGTTGTTGGAGAAACTTGGTCGTGGTGATAGTGCGTCAACTGTTGGCCGCTATTACATGATGAACAAGTCAACAGTCAGATGTATAAAGAAAATCGAAGAGGCAATTAGGGAAAGTTTGGCGGAAAGTGCACTGATGACTGCCAAAGTAGTATGATCATCAATCCCCATAATAATGATCATCCAAGGTAAAATTTTACTTCCAAATTGAAGGTAGAATTTTTTCTGTGTTGTGTTTTATTTGTGTTATTAACTTTCTATGAATGTTATTTATGTGTACAGTACAGGAATAATGTTATGAAACATTTAAATTTTCTCCCATATGTTCAGTCAAAAACCGGAACTTAAACCCCTTTTCTCCCAAATAAATATAGTGTATACATTCGCAAATTATACTTTCGTGCAGATTTTTGAGAACCTAAACCTCGCGGATGCCGAGGCCTTACCGTAATTTCAGGGTGGCACCTTTACCTGTTGCCCTTCATAACAATGTTTTACAATTATGGTAGACATTAGTAATCTCAACAGGCAAACACCACAGATACAGGTTATTGAAAAGGTGATCAAACTATTGACAAGGGAAGCTATATTACCTGAGCATGATTGAAGGACTCGCTCGTTATTTTAGCAGTAACTCTTGGGATCGCCGTGTATAAGTCATACAGAGCTGAAGGTGAATTGCTGTCCATATCTTCAACCTTTGCTTTCTTTTTCCTGCACACAAGAATACAATTAAGAAGCTGTCCTCATGGAAGGAAAATCCAACTGTAATATAGTTAAAATGTAGGTATGGCATATCAAACGTATATTTTCTATAATGATTCGTGGGACTGAAGACATTTGAATACCACGATTTTGACTTGGACTTGACTTTCTCTTCACTGCTTTCCATTGCATTAAAATTTATGCAAATGAGGCCACAATTAAGAGGCTGCTCTTGAAACAGGCATTTCGATCTGTGATTTACACAGATCTGTAGGTATTAAGAATATATATGTCTGGACTTTAATGATAATTTATGTGGAACACTTACATATGTAAATATCCAAATGTTGGTGTGGCATCGTCTCCATCATCGCTGTATCCCTTTCCTTTCCTTTTCCTACACAAGAAAACAAATAAGATACTCACTTTTAATTGAAGGTAGCTTTCAAAGGCAAGTACAATAATTCACATTTTCATGGGCTCTATAGTAAACATTTTATACATTTGTGGACATTCATAGTATTTCAGCAGTATAAATGGTACACCACACTGAGTCGATTGGAAGTTCACATGTGGTGGAGCAAAGTGTCGGTACTCCCATCTTTTCCAAAACATCTGGCCGCCATCGAAGAGTAGGCCAAAGTATTCTCTAGAGGGGTATCTGTCTCAAGTGATCCCTCTAGTAGAGGCCGATCTGCCAGTATCAGGAAGTTCAAACAATTTTAGGGCTGCACCATTTACATTTTTGTTTTACAGTATTTGAGCAGTTAGTTATATTGTAGAAATTAGAGCACACAATTAATTGAATAAACACAGCCAAGTCTCACCTGATATTCGTCACGATTAATGTGATTCCCAAGGCGAGTATCAGTACCCCACAGCAAACAGCCACGATCACCAGTGCCAGGAGAGAGCCTACACAGGTGGACAATGCGATACCAGTTATCAAGTTAGGGCACGCCAATGTCATCAAAACACAAAGCACTCATTGTGCTTTACCCTCTTTGTTCAGCGTACCATCAAGGTTCCAGGTGCCCTGTCGCAGGTAAAATAGCCAGAAATGTCAGGGGCATATCTCGGGTTGCCATGCTTCTCTTTAACTTAAGGCTTGTTACATAGGAAAATGAAAACAATGCAGCCTAGCGTCCTGTGTGATGTTTTCCATGCTGCAATGGAAGCAATTTATTTAATTAGTGACTTCTTTGGTCATAGTTTTGGTTCTTTCAGTAAAGTCACGTAGAAGGGAAACAATAAAATAATAAAAATATTAAACAATAAAATTATCACGACGTTTCGACTGCAACACGAGCAATCATCATCAGGTGTGAAAACCACAGCAAGAAAATTTGAAAAAAGTGACGTTTTTTATAATAAAAACATTCTTCAGACGACAATGTTATGTATTACGTAAATGAGGTCAAATTAAACACTTAGGTTTTTGTGTTCACTTTAGCAAACGCCTCTTATCATCCAACACTACTGTTAAAAACGAGTTCAGAACTATGTAAAATGGCATACTCCGATATACAACAGATTAATACAAAATATGTTGCCAGGGATGTGCTTTTCCATTTAATCAGTGCTCTTCTGAACATCCCAAATATCACATTTAAACTCGTTTTATTTATAATATTTACCAGAACAACTTGGTGGGTTCTCCGAATACGTAAATCTCCTACGCTTATAATATTGTTTTAGATGCGTGTGTGTTGTTCTAGGTGTGTGTTGCTCACCGTCCTCGCAATTTTTTCCATTGTAGCCAAAGGGACACCTGTGACACAGAGTAAGCATCTTTTACTTGGCAGCTCTCTTTACGGTGAAATAATGATGGGGACATTGAAGCAGAATTATTTCAACTTAACAAGTATACAGTTACACCCTGTTCATGACTATCACACCATTGGTTGGCTGTTTGTTACCCACCCAACCAAGTTGTAAAAACGATAGCTACGTTTAAACTTATGATTGTGAAAGTGGAAAATGAGCAATGTACTGCACCTTTTATATACTAACACGACTGTATTGGAAACTAACGTATACAGTATCAGATGATAAATTAACACAGCTCATGTACATAATAACACTCTAATTTGCTTGCATTTATTGTAAAAACTTTCTAGATCCATTGCTACAATACTGGATAAAAAACTACAGTAAATTATTATTGTATTCAAACTAGATCGATAACAATATAACAATGTATTGTATGATGTCCATTAAATTAATTAAACTAGTTGTAAAGGGGCTTACATCCTGCATGTTCCATTTTCATTTTTGTAGCCGTCTGGGCAGCTCATGCAGTTGTATCCAGAGGCCGGACTCTGACACCTGCAGAGTAGACACAATATTAAGCAACGCAAAACAACTTGTTACATTTACAACTTAAAATTGCTAACTGGTCATCCACAACTGTGCAACGTGGCGGCATGCAACTGCATTTCTTAAGTGGACTAAACGCGAACAGACACGATGTCACGGTGTTCACATATACGTAGGCAATTAATTTGTCAGATTTCCATAGCCATTTGGTTGCACAACAAATTTCTCAGCTGGGAAATGCACCTTTAGGGTGCATTCCCTGTATGCCTTTTATCAGTGTTCGTGTGTCCATCTGTTATTCCTGAGTTTTCACGTAAATATTTTGTACATGGTTGTGTTACCGTGGTATGACATAATTGCATCTGTACAACACTCTACATTGCAGTGCGTTGCATTGAAATCTGGTCCATGATTGTAACTCAATTGTAAGGCTGGGGATTACAATCTAGGCTGGGCTTGCTCTCGATTGATCATCCCTTCGGGGTCAATAAAATCAGTATAACTTTGCGAAAAGTTAAATTTTGTCTAATTTGGGGAGAGTGGCTTTCGTTATAACGAGAAGAGAATCTTCTCCAATCTGTCAGAGTTTCCAAGGAAGAGACACTAATGAGCACTGGCCAATGCCCACTTTGCCTTGATATTTTTAATGAAGAAAAAATACCTTGAATCCAGACTGAGTAGTGCCATTGCTATGAAACAATTATTACATTTTAAATACTGTACTTTGTACAAAAATATATGTATTGTAATTTTGCAATAATATTACAGTCCTATAGAATATATTATACAATTATAGAACTTCAATTAACCTTAATGTATATACATATAAAACGCCTATTATCTACAACCCTATTACCCGCAACTCCTATTATGCATGAAAGCTGTAGGGTCCATGAAAACTCCAATTCCCAGGGCTCTAATCGTCATTTAAACTGCCGTTATTTACAGCGTATTAAATATTTCCAAAATGTCCATGGATAAGTGGATTCCTCTTCTTTGGTTCTTTCGGTAACGTCACGTAGAATGAGAATAAAATAATTTTATTGTTTTATTTTATTATTTATTCCTCTTCTTTGGTTCTTTCGGTAACGTCACGTAGAATGAGAATAAAATAATTGTATTGTTTTATTTTATTATTTTATTCTCATTCTACGTGACTTTACCGAAAGAACCAAAGAAGATGAATCCTTGCAGTCACGAAAGCTTTAAATCGAGATTTAAGTGGATTCCTGTAGAAAATTATCCCAGTTATCCGTGATTATTTGACTTTTCCATACTTACGAGTGAAGTCCATTTCTGGATAACCCTATGGGTAATAGAATCCACCATGTGTGTACGCCATATCAAGACGGACAAGAGGAGTTCTGTAGCACAGTAAAGCTTCTCATTTAAGAAAAAAAGATTAGAGGTTCCCAACTCCCCAACTCTTACTTGACACAAGTTCCATTTTCCTCCTTGGAGTGAATGGGGCAAACTGTGAATATAAAAAAAACAAGTATTTTTGCAGGTTTCATAACGAGGTAAAAAAAATTGCAATTTCTTGAAAAATGTTTAACTGTAATGCGAGCCACAATAGGCGTTGCTGTACCTGAGCATAAACGTGCATATTCTTGTTGTATAAACCCAGGGAGGCAATTGCACTGCGTAAAACCATCTATCTCCACGCACTCAGATGTGGTTGAGTCGCACGCATCAAGGTCACACGTGGACTTTGCACCTGTATAGCGACATGCAAGTAATTACACATGGCAAATATTGAAAGTGCAATAACACGTAGTAACATTTACATATATCTAAAAGAAGTTGCACTTCAGTTATAGTGACGGTGTTTTTAATTAATGTCTTCCGAGTGGCTGTTCTTTTTCACGTAAGAAATGCAGTGCAGTACAACGTTAGTGTTCTGTAGTCGTGAGGATGCTGCTGCTGCTGCAATTGTACACATTTCTTCCTAGGGATAAGTATGGGAAAAGGAGCGCTGCTTGCCATCAGTGTTTGGAGAGCCTGAAGGACGAGAATCTCAACAACGTAGCGCAGAAAGCGCTGCATTGGCATTTGCACCCCATACTTGATCTGGCGGTATCAGGAGCTGGTCCCCAGGGGCAGATAAACCCAGGCAATTACCTACTAAAATAATCATCCAGAAAAGTCTGTCCGTCCCGCCCGTGACGTCACTCCACATGAGGCCCACCCCCCCCCCCCCGCGTGACGTCACTCCACGAGGCCCACCCCCTGTCATTAATATTCATGAGTGGGTGGATTTTTACACGAACGCAGAGGAAGGTCGAGCTGAATTAAATAATTTATTACACAAAGTCGCTTCAAAATATGACGTTTCTTTACAGAAAGTGACGTAAAAATAAATCTACGCAGCACAGTGCTACGTCCGTGCGTGACGTCACTGCAAAATAGCCCCACCCGCCCTTCATTAATATTCATGCACGCGTGGAAATTTACACGAACGCACAAAAAGGTCGCGCACTCCACATGCCGCACCCCTCCCCTCATTAATAATCATGAGCGGGTAACGTCACTCCACATGCCGCACCCCTCCACAACAACCATGAGGAGATGACGTCACTCTACATGCCGCACCCCTCCACAATAACCATGAGGGGGTGACGTCGCTCCACATGCCGCACCCCTCCACAATAACCATTAGCGGGTGACGTCACCATTAGCGGGTGACGTCACTCCACATGCCGCACCCCTCCACAATAACCATTAGCGGGTGACGTCACTCCACATGCCGCACCCCTCCACAATAACCATGAGGGGGTGACGTCACTCCACATTCCGCACCCCTCCACAACCATGAGCGGGTGACGTCACTCCACATGCCGCACCCTTCCACAATAACCATTAGCGGGTGACGTCACTCCACATGGGACAACCCCCCCCCCCACCGCTTTAATAATCATGAGCTGAACAAATTCTCTATTGAATATTTCAGATTTACTGCAATACACACCCGTCCTTGGACGGGCAAAAAAGCTAGTTTGTAAGAATTTGACAATAAGTCCATTTATCTGTGGTCTGGACCCCGAATATTTGGATGGCCACACTCCCCGGATGTTTGGAAGAGAGAATCGGGTTTTGCCAACTGCGATATAAACTAATTCACGGATAATTGTGTCACGGACAACTGGTTGTGTACTGTACACTATTCAGGTTGTGATCATATCAAACATTAAGGCCAATCAAACATTATACACTCCTGCACATTTATATTTTCTTATTATTGTATGGCATGTTTACTGCCTCACTTCTCTAAACCAGCTTAAAAGACGCTACGAATCTTAACGTTCATTGAAGCTCTGTCGTCCCGACAGGTCTGTTCCTTTCACCTGAAGAAAGCCACTTGTGTTGTGGCCGAAACGTCGTGAGAATTTAATTGTTATTTTATTAATTTATTATTTTATTCTCATTCTACGTGACTTTACCGAAAGAACCAAAGAAGATGTTTACTGTGCTTAAAAAAGGTCTTATAGAGGATAAGCAATCGGTCACTTACTTGCCGACGAAATGGCCAAATTTCCACATATACTTTCTTGTCCTGTACATGACCTAATCATTTCGTTGACTGCTGATGAAACATTATCTTTTGTTACGACAGAATCTGTATCAAACATGTTCACAACCTCTGCAAAGACGCTGCCATTTCTGTGGAGAACACGTTTAGAGACGACAGTGTTAGTTTAGAGAACTTAAGACGACTTGATGTTGCTCGTGAAGATTGAATGGAACAAGCACGAGGTGGTGTTGTTGTTGTTTTTTTGGGGAGCGGTGGCGCAGTGGTTAGCGCGCTGCTGCGCTACGAACCGGGCAGAGACCCAAGTTCGATTTCCCGCTCACGGGCAACGCCAGCGATAGCGATTATCCGAACCGGTTCTGGGCCCTCCCCTGGGTCGAATCGGCCTCGAATGAGTGCCCGGTGCGGTGTGTAGTAAACATCGCCACTGGGGGAGACAAAGGCGGCCGGGCGTGGCGTTGGCCACCCACCGCCCTTCGTGTGCCAAAGTGCCAGAGTGGCCTTCAGAGGTGCCGCTCGCTAACAGCACTTGCCCCCCCCCCCCCCTAACAGTTTAAGGCTGCACGGGGGATCTTTGTCTTTGTAGTGTGACTGGTACAATGTGATCACTCACCTTAGTTTGATGACTGCAGATCCTTTATAATCTTGACGCTCTCCAAAAGTTAAATTGAGCTGTAGTAGAAATATGTACAGTATCGATTTAAAAACCTCGACATTTTGTAATAAAATTTACCAGATAAGTACTGTATGTTGTCACTTCAGGTTATTTTCTAATTATTGACTTTAAAATGAACATTGCAATTGCTCTGACTCGTCACAAGCTGGCTTAAATTTTGTATAAACTATAAATTGAAGTGCTGCATTTTACAGGATTCATTTAACGAATGTGTAACACAACACACCTACATCACTAATCATTTAGGAAGCTGATATTGTCTCTCTGTGTTGTTAACACAATTTATAAGGAAATATAAATAGCAGCCTGCAGTGTACATATATGCAAAAAAACGCAAGAGAGCTTGCTTTGCATTCCAAGATGACGCCACCATTTGTTGTTGTTGTTGCATATTCTGCACTGGCTACCAGTTAACAACAACAACAACAAACCATCACCGAGATTGTGTCATTTTTTATTTGGCAGTTTCGGGATAAGGCGACTTTTTTGAGCCGATGTACACCAGAAGTCTGTGTGCAAAACATGTACACCTCTCTGCAGACACGATATTACCATAGTTTTTGACGTGCTTTTTAAGTAACTTATGTATTTAATTTTGCATACAAGTCTCATGGAAATGAAATTCATTTTCTGTACAATAAGTAATTTTAAAGAAAAAACTCAATGAGAAGACAAAGCCTGCGTTACTTACCATATTTAAAATGGGTATGGAAATTGTTTTGAAGTCTTGTGAAGTTGGGTCCTTCATTTGATCAGTGAATGGTTTCGAAATGTGTAAACTCGAACCATATGTCTTTGCTGTGGTGTGTGGTGAACACAATGTTAGGTCATGGAAGTACAATTTAAACACAATTCCGAAACATAAAACCACATTCGAAATACTGTACTGCAATGGGAAGGTTGTGAATTCAAATCCTGCCAGGTGTCGAACTAACCCATCATGCATCTGGGATCATTTACAAAAGTACAAGCGTTGGAAATCATTAGTGGTTGCCATATGCAGAGACTAGCACCTGCCAAAGGAATGTGGAATTTCCACCACTGCCTGATGGCTACCAACGAAGTTGCACATTTGAACAGAGAGACATTGACTTTGCTTAAATAAAGAATACTTTAATGTCAAGGCAATGATGTGTTGGCGATGTGACGTTGATGAAGCATTGACAACAAAATCTTACCGACAACGCATGCCTTGGAAGTTTTGTCGTCGTAATATCCTATAGGGCATTCGCATCGGAACGAATCATTGTTGCTAAAGCACTTGGCCAATGAAGGGCATGGTGGAGGCTGGACTTTGCATGGATCAACTTCCATATGAAACAAAAAAAGTAGTTTTATTTGTATGCACGTACTTTACATTATACTGTCCAGTAAATTCATTGCAATTTGTGTATGCAACTTCATGTGTGTCCATAGAACCACAACCCCTATTATCCACAGGAGCCATTGGGTCCATGAAAACTATAATCAGCCACACTATTTTTCCTATTACTGTAAAAGTGATTATCTAAAAATATTGTCATTATGCATTCTTTTTTCAGATCATAGGAGTTGAGTTGCAAACTAATGCAACTATCCGCTATTATACACAATTCTCTTCCCGTGGACAAGTGCAGAATAATTTGCAAATAATCCTGCGGATAATAGGATCCGCGATATTAGTATCCTACATCACCGTGGATAAGAGGAGTTCTGTACTTTTTATGAATGCATTATTGTACGTGGAAAACGACATTTCCTTTTGAAGTTTCTACGGTATTGTGTTACAATATGTTGTGGAGGTGACTGGTGGATTAGTTGTTGGTGATCCAGCATGACATGAGTGATTTGCCAGCTGTGGTTGGTGCAGATACATGTGCAGATGTTGTTTTTGATGTGGTAGATGCAGTTCTTGACTTGCTTGTAGCAATGATGTGATGGATGATGCCCTATCTGGTGTAGTTGATCCAGGAGCTGTTGTCTTGGACATACCTGGTGGTTTAGTTGTTGTGGAGGCACCTGGTGGAATAGTTGTGGAGGCGCCTGGTGGAATAGTTGTTGTGGAGGCGCCTGGTGGAATAGTTGTTGTGGAGGCACCTGGTGGAATAGTTGTTGTGGAGGCGCCTGGTGGAATAGTTGTTGTGGAGGCACCTGGTGGAATAGTTGTTGTGGAGGCGCCTGGTGGAATAGTTGTTGTGGAGGCGCCTGGTGGAATAGTTGTTGTGGAGGCACCTGGTGGAATAGTTGATGTCGAGGCACCTGGTGGAATAGTTGATGTCGAGGCACCTGGTGGAATAGTTGATGTCGAGGCACCTGGTGGAATAGTTGTTGTGGAGGCACCTGGTGGAATAGTTGTTGTGGAGGCACCTGGTGGAATAGTTGTTGTGGAGGCGCCTGGTGGAATAGTTGATGTGGAGGCACCTGGTGGAATAGTTGTTGTGGTGGTGCCTGGTGGAATAGTTGATGTGGAGGCGCCTGGTGGAATAGTTGTTGTGGAGGCGCCTGGTGGAATAGTTGTTGTGGAGGCGCCTGGTGGAATAGTTGTTGTGGAGGCACCTGGTGGAATAGTTGTTGTGGAGGCACCTGGTGGAATAGTTGTTGTGGAGGTGCCTGGTGGAATAGTTGTTGTGGAGGCACCTGGTGGAATAGTTGTTGTGGAGGCACCTGGTGGAATAGTTGTTGTGGAGGCACCTGGTGGAATAGTTGTTGTGGAGGCGCCTGGTGGAATAGTTGATGTGGAGGCGCCTGGTGGAATAGTTGATGTCGAGGCGCCTGGTGGAATAGTTGATGTCGAGGCACCTGGTGCAATAGTTGTTGTGGAGGCGCCTGGTGGAATAGTTGTTGTGGAGGCGCCTGGTGGAATAGTTGTTGTGGAGGCGCCTGGTGGAATAGTTGTTGTGGAGGCGCCTGGTGGAATAGTTGTTGTGGAGGCGCCTGGTGGAATAGTTGTTGTGGAGGCGCCTGGTGGAATAGTTGTTGTGGAGGCGCCTGGTGGAATAGTTGATGTGGAGGCGCCTGGTGGAATAGTTGTTGTGGAGGCACCTGATGGAATAGTTGATGTCGAGGCGCCTGGTGGAATAGTTGATGTCGAGGCACCTGGTGGAATAGTTGTTGTGGAGGCACCTGATGGGATAGTTGTTGTGGAGGCGCCTGGTGGAATAGTTGTTGTGGAGGCACCTGGTGGAATAGTTGATGTCGAGGCGCCTGGTGGAATAGTTGATGTCGAGGCGCCTGGTGGAATAGTTGTTGTGGAGGCACCTGATGGGATAGTTGTTGTGGAGGCGCCTGGTGGAATAGTTGCTGTGGAGGCGCCTGGTGGAATAGTTGATGTCGAGGCGCCTGGTCGAATAATTGTTGTGGAGGCGCTTGGTGGAATAGTTGATATGGAGGCACCTGGTGGAATACAGTGAGGGAAAAAAGTATTTGATCCCCTGCTGATTTTGTACGTTTGCCCACTGACAAATAAATTATCAGTCTATAATTTTAATGGTAGGTTTATTTGAACAGTGAGAGACAGAATAACAACAAAAAAATCCATAAAAACGCATGTCAAAAATGTTATAAATTGACTTGCATTTGAATGAGTGAAATAAGTATTTGACCCCCTCTCAATCAGAAAGATTTCTGGCTCCCAGGTGTCTTTTATACAGGTAACGAGCTGAGATTAGAAGCACACTCTTAAAGGGAGTGCTCCTAATCTCAGCTTGTTACCTGTATAAAAGGCACCTGTCCACAGGAGCAATCAATCAATCAGATTCCAAACTCTCCACCATGGCCAAGACCAAAGAGCTCTCCAAGGATGTCAGGGACAAGATTGTAGACCTACACATGGCTGGAATTGGCTACAAGACCATTGCCAAGCAGCTTGGTGAGAAGATGACAACAGTTGGTGTGATTATTCGCAAATGGAAGAAACACAAAAGAACTGTCAATCTCCCTCGGCCTGGGGCTCCATGCAAGATCTCACTTCGTGGAGTTGCAATGATCATGAGAACGGTGAGGAATCAGCCCAGAACTACACGGGAGGATCTTGTCAATGATCTCAAGGCAGCTGGGACCATAGTCACCAAGAAAACAATTGGTAACACACTATGCCGTGAAGAACTGAAATCCTGCAGCGCCCGCAAGGTCCTCCTGCTCAAGAAAGCACATTTACATGCCCGTCTGAAGTTTGCCAATGAACATCTGAATAATTCAGAGGACAACTGGGTGAAAGTGTTGTGGTCAGATGAGACCAAAATGGAGCTCTTTGGCATCAACTCAACTCGCCGTGTTTAGAGGAGGAGGAATGGTGCCTATGACCCCAAGAACACCATCCCCACCGTCAAACATGAAGGTGGAAATATTATGCTTTGGGGGTGTTTTTCTACTAAGGGGACAGGACAACTTCACCGCATCAAAGGGATTTTTTTTGAGTTTCATTTAATCGTTGCAATAAATGTATTGTATTGTTTTAAGTAGCTACTGCACTGTAGTAACTTAGCAAACCGACATGATTATTTTATTAAACTTTAGAATGTATTTTCCACGAGTAGTTACAATGTCCAGAAATATATAATTAAATAGGTGTTTTTTCTAATTTCTGTAGTAATATGACAATATATTGATAAAATATGGCATATTATCACACATTTTCGAATTTTGATTCAAATAACTTGGGTAAAAGTTGGTATCTAGCTTCCCTTATACTATAATTAGTTTGTTACTTTATTCATAATAGCTGAGTGTAGTTCCAATTTAGTAATTTAGTTTTCTTATTTTTAAATTAGTTTTTATTTCGCACCATACGTAGGCAACCATGCTAATCGGAGGTGCAGGAGAAAGACAACAAACTAAACACCAGTTCTCAAGAAATGAGTTTTCAATCTAGATTTTTTAAAATGCATAGCTACAGTGGCTTCCTAATATTGGAAGGAAGAGCGTTCCAAGACAGCCACAGAAGCGCATCTGAAAGCGCGCGATGCAGTGACCGTCTTTGTTCAATGGCTATCCAAAAGCCGCTGGTGAGGAGGCCTTGGTTTGTGAGACCTCAGATGACTGCATCAATTTCCATGGAGTAATATGCGTTTTGATAGTCTATGAAAGGTAGGTCCAATGATATTTTGACATTTGTTAGTTTTTTCCAAAATCTGATTAATATTATGTACGTGTCTGATGATAGTGAAACCTTTTCTTAACCAGGCTTGCTCGTGTAGATGGTTGGTCTCAAATTCGGTACCCGATGATGTTCATGAATTATTCATATGCATCCTATAAGTCTGTATGTCAAGTAAAATGTATCACCTTTTTAAAATAAAATGATAAAGTATTGAGCTATTTCGTTCATGTGCAATCGTGTAAACATTTTGTCAACCAGTTCTCGAATTTGCTCCAATTGTTTCATTTTGTTAAGGGGAGAGTTTTCTTTTTCAGGTGTGACATTTTGAACTTAATTTTCACGTGAAAAATGGCGATTCCTGGAATCTTTTTTTATGTGAATAAATAAATAAATGTATAAATACATTTTAACTTCCAGTCACTTTTATTATCATTCTATCTTTCACCCTAAGCTCTGACGTTTGTGAATTGCTAGTTATTAACCTATTTTTTTATTTCATGCTCCCATTGCTTGCTATGAGATATTAATAATGTCCTAATCAGTCTATAGCGGTCTATATTGTTCTGTATAAAAAACTATTGTTGAGACTCTATCTATTTTAATCATATCTCTCCTCCTCGTCAACATATCTTTCTTGGTTTCAGATAAACTGTTCTCTTTTTAATCTTTCCCCCACACTTTCAACGGACTATTCATTTTTTTTGCCCGCTATTGTATCATTATGTTCACCAAAGTTATTCACAGCGATAGAAGTTTGATTAAAATGTTATTCGAAATAATAAGGCAGAAACGTAAATCGATCAAATACGAGCCACCTGAGATTTGCTGATAACAGTCATACCAACCAATGGAATTTAACTCAAGGAAATTATTGAAGAACTTAATGAAGACGGCTGTAAAGTTTGGATGACCATAAATGCGATCAAAACAAAATAAATGTACAACTAAGGAAGAGAATACAATTGTTAGAGTGCTACACCTGGAAAACACGTAAGAATGTGTATCCCTAGGGCAGTTTGTGAAGGCAGATCAAGATCATTACGGTTAAATGAGAGCAGGGTAGGGGTGCTTTTGAAATAACCGAACCATTAACAAGTACTACATATTCTCAGATTAACATAATACTTTGTTAATGCTGTAACTTAAATGACTACTATCGTGTTATTGTATTGTTTGCTTTTGTAACGTTCTTACCCACCCCTATTGGACATGTAAAAAATAGCTTTATAGCTAATCGGATTTCTCCAGTATAAATAAATATTCTGATTCTGATAACATGAATCCCCCTCTGGTCTTTGCACCTGATAGGCTCACAGTGATGACATCACCTTTTCTCTATTTAAGACCAAAACAGGAAGACTTCTTCACAGTTCTGGCATATCGCCTGATGAAGCTGGTTGTAATGACCAGCCAAACGTCGTAGTAAAATTGTAAATGTTATGGGTTTACTCTTCAACACACCGGTGTGCTGAAGTAATAACTAATTGACACGTTTTATTCACATGACAAACCTTACTGGTTGGCTGTGTCGGGTGGTGGCGGGTTAACAACACATCTATACTTACGCGCTCGAACCCAAAAAATATTTATTCTGAATATTGGTCACGAAAGCCTACGTGTTAAACTGCTTTTTAAATACTGTGCTAAATAATGGAAACACAATATGCCGATAAGCATGAACAAAATGTTTCGCGATACTGCGTCAGTAGTGGTGCAAAAGCACGAATAACAATTTAAAAAAACTCAATGTATTCGTCAATAACATTGCCATACACTACTGTTGATTACAACAGCCAAGATCCAACTTGGAACACGCTCGAATAAGTATTATTGAACATCCAACAATCCATATGAAATCCATGATATATCCACTCTGACACAGAAGACCATGCCGTTTGTGTCCAATCTTTACCTGCATTTACAATAGTTTTAAATGTAACATATACAGAAGTGCTTAACATCACGTAAAATATTAAAAGTAGACAAATCTTTTACACATTTGCTTCATGTACATGTGATTTTTATGGCCAGCTACAGTACTAAGCCAGTCGTACTGAGTTTCCTTGTGTTTTATGCTGTATGTTAAAAGGGAAAAAAACTATTTGACGTTTGTTTAAACTACTATAAACTGTGTACTGCGAATAAAACAGTGTTATATTAGTCATGCTACTAGTATTATGAAATTACATTATGAATTCCATATACAGTCCTATTTGCGACCAACGCTGTTGACTGGGATGCATACAGTCCCTGGTTTAATTTGCTATTCGATTTTCCCGACTCTGGGACTTACCTGATGCAGCCAAGACCAAAAGGCCACTGATGAAAACCGTCAGCGTTCGGCAGCCCATCTCGCAAAAAAAAATTACTTAAATATTGTAAAGGAAAAAAAAATACTTCGTTTTTAATTATCCTAAAGCCTGCAGAACATGTGCTGTATTTTCTGTTTTATTCCAGAAGCAGTGTTCAAACCAACTGCCCTATGCTTTTTAGACGGCTTGAAAGCGTGCCATGCTTATATAGTTGTAAACCTAACCGTCAACTTCGTTTTCAGATAAGATAAAAAAAAGCCTCAGCCTATTGCTGACGAGATCATTGTTTAGCCTCGAACACGTGACAGTTATAATCGTAATTTGCATATTTACTCATTCGATCTCACAAGTATTTATTTTTAAGCATGTATATTTTCTGCTATACATATCTTGGATCATACTTTTAACTAAACTAAAACATTTTAATTTTATGAGGTAAGGCCCAGAGAGATATATAGCTCTTTTTTCAGAAGCAACCTGGCCACAAATGACAGCTCAACGAAATGGCTTATCTTGTAGAAATTTAGAGCAGACAAATACTCTAAACGCACATTTCTAAATGTGGAGAGAAAACCCAGAGGAACCAGAGAAAAATACACGTGACCACAGGGAGAGAGACATGCAAACTCTAAATATACAGGCATCAGGGTCAGGATCGAACCCACGACCTTCTGTATACCAAGCAAGATAGTTAATATCTCACTGCACAACCTACACATGCTCTCAGCCATAGCCTATGTTAAAGAAATGTTGATGTTAACACTGACGACAGGGCTTTTCGTGTATATATATATACTACATAATTAACAAGGCAAATGGAATAATGACGGGCATAGCATACAAATAAATATGGTAAAGATTCCGTGCAATGGCTGACTTCCGATCGTCGAATCCAGTGCACATGCTTTAATTTCACAAGTGTGTATATCGTAAACAATTCACAAATACCCCGAAATCAATCAAATATACTTATATGTGAGCGGAGGGTTGGAGATTTGGGGACGATCACCTCTAAAATGCTAAAAGAGAATCCATGAGTGCAGACAAACCAAACAGCCACCGATGGACATGGGGCAGAGTCCAGGTACAGCTTGGTTTTATATTGATTTATTTTACACCTCCCGTTATGAATTGGCACTGTCTAAATGTAAAAAAACAAGAGTACAAGTTGTAAAAAGTCTCCGTTGCTTTTGTCCAAATGTAAAAAGCACGCACGTTTTTCCTTTGGATAAGAGGCATTGTGGGCAAAACTATCCTATTATCCATGGGGTTAACCATACATGTTTCACTCCGCGCATAAGAAGAGTAGAATCATGGATAACCGCACGAACAATTGGATCCATAATATTGGTTTCACATATCACGGTGGATAATAGTTCTGTGTCTCTATCCTTTTAAATCCTACGCTCAGCACTGTACGAAGCAAGGTGATGTGCATTGTATTTGATAAGACAACACTTGGTGGTTGAAAGGTGGAGCAATCCTGTGTTGGCAGATAAATCTCGACAGAGGATGGGAGACAGTAGCCTTCTCCTGAAGCCCACCAGTGACATGTTTTTGTTACCCTTATACCATCAGCTAGGTGAAGCCAAACTATGGACTATATCGTAAACCTGTGTAGTCTGAGCTCCTTCAAAGGAGGATTAGCAAAACTACACAAATTATCTCCTGAAGCCCTATTTTCGCGAGCATATATCAAAATTGTCATTTAGCTCTTGAAAATACTGCCACACGCAAGAATAATCTCGGTTGAGACTCGTCAGGCAGGTTCAGGGAAGTGCAAGATTGACCACGAGGCGCTGGGTCTCAGAGTATCCACCAAAGTCAGCAGCTGCGCTCTCAAAAAAGTGAACCAGCGCCTCCACAGTTGTCAATTTCTCTACGCAGGTCTCCTGTATTCTTCTGACAACTTTGCTTGTTTTCAGGAATTTTTTGGTGAGCGTGGGAGCAGCAACGTTCCCATCCTCATCTTGAGAACCTATCCTCCTCCCACAACAGATCGCCTCTCATCTCCTAAGGCGGCCTCTCCTCTCCTACAATTTCCTCCCCTCTCTCAAGATATCAATCGCCCTAAGATGGTGGACACCTCATGGCCTCTTTCATTGTTCCCAGGAGCGGAGCCAGGATTTTGACATTGGGGGGGGGGGCTGACTTAAATATTCTGAGATATCCAGTGTTTATGTTTTCCAATGGGCGCCACAAATGTATAAAACAAATTTTATTGGATTTGAACGCGGAGTTTATTAATAGGTCGGAGCCGCTGATGTGGGTAGTAAATTCGTTAAGTTCGAAAGGCTGCCGCTCAAGCAGCCTGCAGGGCAGCACAAGGTGGCAGCCAGCATTTTGCAGCAGCCGGATATCCGGTTATCCCGATTACCGACTTTCCCAAAATTTCAGGGAGGCTAAGCCCCCCCCCAGCCACCCCTGTAACTCCGCCCCTGATTGTTCCTACATTGTCTATCAATTTATTATTTTATTCTCATTCTACGTGACTTTACCGAAAGAACCAAAGAAGATGAATCATTGCAGTCACGAAAGCTTTAAATCGAAATGTCTAAATGTGGTCTGCATAATGTGTCCATTATGTGAAGAATATGATGCGAAATAATTATATTAGCCCACTCTCCGGTCTTGCCTCCACCATCTTGCATGTCTCTTTTCCTCTCAATGCATCGCATTTATGAAGTGTTCTCGTTGTCATGGTTGCCCCTCCTCTATCCCGGCTCCCTTGCTCTTACTAAAACTAACCCAAAGCCTGCCGAGGCCCCTCACTCACGCCTCGCGTTCTTTCTTGATATGGAATTTCCTTTGGTAAGGCCATGGAAAGCGTCACAAACTACGTGGTCAAAGAAGATGTAAAATAGTGAAGGAGATAGAGGACATCCCTGTCACACCCCGATGTGAAAAGAAAATAGCTTCAAGTCCCTGCCGCTCAGCTTTAACCAGGCCTGCCCACCATCATGAAAGGCCTTAATGTTTGTGAGCAGGTCAGGGACCACAAAACCACAAGGAATAATTGAGAGCCCTGGCCTATTGGTCTATCATAGGCCTTGACCAGGTCAATAAGGCAAAGATGTAGGTCCTGATGAAATGTCCTACCCCTCTCCTATCGCAAACAGACAGGGGAGATGGCGTCCATGCAATACCGGCCCAGTTTGAAATCACATAGAGGTTCCACAAGCCTCTCCTCAGTCTGTTTGGCAAGGCAACGTTGAATACTTACCAGAATATTTTCCAGAACACTGGGGATATGCTCCAATAGTTGTTACAATCAGTGCAGTCCCTCTTCTTAAAAATGGGAACCACCAGGGTATCCGTCCAATCCTGTAGAACATGTCTTGTAGACCAAACGATTTTAATGATGTCATATAGGGCAGCTTGCACACAAATGCCACCCTGTCTTAACATTTAGCTTGAGAGGTTATCTCTGCCTGGTCCTAGATTTGGTCTCAGGCTCTGGATCACTTTTCGAACTTCCTAAACAGATGGCACATCAGCCAGCCACTCACAGAGGGTGGCTAATTCCTCTCATATTTGATGTATCGCAAACCCAGAAAGGTCAACCCCATCTTGCCTCAGAAATGCTCAGCAAACCTGTTCTTGGGGGTCAGGAATCAGGTCACCATTATTTTCCTTAAGGATGATAATAGGTGTCATTCTGCAAGTCATTCTTTTGATGGAGTTTAATAGTCATTTGGGATTGTGCGCGACTGAGGCAGATTCCATTTTCTGAGCAACCCGTGACCACCACTCATCCTCGCAGTGCCATACAGCTTTCCGAACCTCCAAGCGAAAGCTACAGTAAACCTCATTCTCGGAAGTGGGATGTTGGAGATGGTGGGAGTAGGCCTGCTGCTTTTTTAAAGCTTGCTGGAACACCTCCTCCGTCAGGCAGGGTTTCTCAAGAGGTTTGAACCGTGTCCCCAAAACAGCCATAGCAGTTACATGAGTCACAGTCTTGAACCTCTCCTTGGCATCAGAAGGAGGGGATGGGACGGTGCCAACCCCATCTGCAAGCAATGATGAAAATTTGCGCTTGCAACCTTCATCAGGAAGCCTAGACCAGGCTATTGTGGGTTTGAATGCGGTCCGAGGTAGACACCCACTACCACAGTGGAAGAATGACAGGCCCATCTTACAGATGACCAGCAGTCAGTTGGCAGATCAGCTCCATGGTATTGTAGGTTCTGATGCCAAGGACATGGGGCCATATTCGCTGTTCTGTCACTATGTAGTGCAGAAGATGTTATGGTCATAGAACCCCCATAACTAACATGGCATGGGGAGGGTTTCATCTAGCAGAGAACTGACAAAGAGCTGTAAATAATTTTCATTATGATTTACCCTGGAAATACGTTATATTTTTTGATAAACACAATATATTGTTAAATTATGTGCAGTGTTTCATTTTCTCATTTGAAAAGTGTAATAGTATATTGTTGAATTAATTTAACTTGTGTTATTTATTTTTGCAATACATAAATTGTTCACTAACATCACTGGAAACATAAAAAAATTAAACCACTGTGCCATTGCCACACGCTTAATATTGTATTTAATCTTTCTCTTGAGTTCACACAGCTCAGCTGCACATACACGTAAACTGTCACCAAACAAAGGAATTCAAATGATCTTAAAACACTATTGATAGTGGTGTGAACCAAACAATTAAACCCCGGCACTATCATCTTAAATGGCACTAGATTAAGAGCAATGGCAAGCACGCTTGTCAAGTTCAGTTCACATTTATGAGTTCCATAAGCGTAGGTGTGTAAGGTCGTGAAAATTAAACCTTGGATTTTTTAAAAATAACAATAGTATGACTCCTATGTGCTCATTAAATACTTCCTACCATGCTGAGATGTTTCTGTTATGAGGGGTTTTATCATCACATACAGGTTTGATTTATGAATGCTGAGAAGGAAATAATATTTAGACCGCATTGTGCATGTCAGTCGAAATAGAGCACCTTCAACTTACAATGGAAGTTGTGTGATGATTAAGTACCGTACTGCATGTTGATATGTCTATGCGTTACACAATGATGTAAAATATTAAACAAAACATGCAATCCTTTTTCCTTGAATCTTATAAAATGTTCCACATCTGCTTTTACATGTAGACTACAGTATAACAGTTAGTTTTCAAATATATATATTTTTTAACTGCATATACAGCCGTATTTTAGTAGCATGTCATAGGAGGACTAGCCGTATTTAC